ACATAAAATAAATAAATCTGGGGGCTGGAGAGATGGCTCAGAGGTTAAGAGCACTGGCTGCTTTTCCAGAGGTCCTGAGTTCAATTCCCAGCAACCGCATGGTGGCTCACAACCATCTAGAATGAGATCTGGTGCCCTCTTCTGGCCTACAGGCATACATGCAGACAGAACACTGTATACATAATAAATAAATAAATCTTCACAAATTCACATATAAAAGCCCAAAGTTCGAATATTTAAAATGTTCAAAATCTAACTATGGGCTCCTGTAAAATAAAAAATATAGCCAGCAGTGGAGACACACGCCTTTGAAATCCCAGCACTTGGAAGGCAGAGGCAGGTGGATCTCTGAGTCTGAGGCCAGCTCTGGTCTACAGAGCCAGTTCCAAGACAGCCGGGGCTACGCAAAGTCTCAACTCCCCACCCCCACCCAAAGTTACTTTCTTACATCAAGAAGGAAGAAGCAGTTTACAGTACAATTTGAACAAAGCAAAACCAAATTCCAACAGTGTAAACAGTGTCCAGTGTCTGGAATTCATGCCCGATCTGCGCTCCTCCAAAGGGCTCGGGTCACTTCTCTGGCTCCACCCTCTGCAGCACACCCGGCCTGACTACTGGGCTCAGGCTGGCTCCACTCCACTGCCGCTGTGTTCTTGGTGGCCATTCCTGGCACTGGCATCTCCAAACGCTGGGGTCCTCTCCTGCAACTGGGCTGCACTTTCACCAACAGGCTCTCTTGGGCTCTCTTCAGGGACTCCAGGCCTGCAGCAGGGTCAAACCTCAGCAACTCTTGTGCGGTCCCTTTATGCCTTCAAAGCAGTATCAGTGGGTGACTCTTTCACTACCAAGTTCAGCGGCCGGCATGAGGCTCAACCTTGGCTGCCTCTGGACCACAGCTTCAGTGCGCTAACGCGGTGGAAACACTTCCCGGGAGAGTTCGACTCAGTGAGTCACAGCTGACCCTTCAGCCCCTGCTGGCCAGATAGCAGAGGCCTCGCAGGGAAGGCCGGCTTCTTTGCTTCCCTCGGAAACTTCACAAGCCAGGCCTCCGTGTTCTGCACTGCTCCTATGTTTGTGTCTTTCCCACAGAACAGCCCGCCTGTAGGGTCCGGGGAGACGATGAAGATCCCCGACTTCAACAGTCTGCGAGAGCAAACAGCATTTAACATTACAGCATGCAGGGGACCCTGAGAGAAGCTGCAGGCTCCTTTTAACATAGCTAGTGCTGTTCCGGTGACAGTGAGGTCATCACACCGCTAGTTGGTTAAGTAAGCAACAGTTACATTCTCTTATTTCTAATTGGCTGAGGTTTAGTCTTATCATTTCTGGATTTCAGGGGGGTTGCAGGAACTGTCTTTGAGACCTTGTGGGGAGGACTCAGGCCTATGATGTGTGTTTTTCCTTCACCCCAATGCGAGGCTGCAGTGGATAATTGGTTCTCGGCTGGGGGGGGGGGGGCACTTGTGTGTCCTCCTCAGAGAACCCAAACTGAAGTTCAGTTGTGAGACTGGGAGCGTTTAACCCCTTCACACTGGGCTCTGAGCCCAGATGCTATCACTGTCCTCCACAACCAAACATCTAAGGTACACTAATCGCTGGCCCAGGGATGGCACTACCCACCATGGGCTGCCCCCCTTCCCCGTGGTCACCATCTTCTGGAGGCACTTTCTCAGTTGAGGCTGCCTTCTCTCGGATGATGCATTTGTGGCAGGCTGACATAGAAATTAGCCAGCCCACTAACAATTTCTTTCTGTTGCTTTAGAAAGTAAAGCTAGGGGCTGGAGAGATGGCTCAGAGGTTAAGAGCATTGCCTGCTCTTCCAAAGGTCCTGAGTTCAATTCCCGGCAACCACACGGTGGCTCACAACCATCTGTAATGAGGTCTGGTGCCCTCTTCTGGCCTGCAGACATACACACAGACAGAATATTGTATGCATAATAAATAAATATTTAAAAAAAATAAAAACCTAGTTGTATGGGTGGACCCATTAACCAAGTTTCTGAAACGATGCGCCGCTGTGCAGTTATCAAAACGTCTTCCCTTTCAGGGCTATGGGTGTTGTAGAGCGCTTGCCCAGCGTGCAGGAAGCTCTGGTTCAATCCCAAGAACCTCGTAAACGCGGTTGCTGGGAGGTAGATCACTCAAGGTCAAGCACACACCTTTAACTCCGGCACCCGGAAGGAGGAGACAGGTGGATCCCTGGGAGTCCAGACCAGCCAGTGAGGCCATTTAGAAGGAAGCCATGCCAGACGACCCATCTAGCTAGGATCATAGGTTGGGCTGCACGAGATCTCTCCCCAAAACAAAATGTCTTTCTTTGGGGGGTGGAGACTGAACCAGTGCGGACGAGCGCTCTGCCTCCAGCCTTCTGTACTGTTGCTTCATTGCTTCGGAGATAGCGTCTCTCTACATTACCGCAGTCCTCCGGTGCTTGTTTGTCCTTCCTCCACCTCCAGACCGGGCTCCCACATAGGCACCACCAAGGCTACTTCATTGATTTTTCTGATTTAAGACAAGGTCTTCCTGTGTCCCAGGCTGGACTAAGACTGCAGAGCTGAGGCTAAATCTGAATTTCTGATTCTCTGAGTTCCACCTCTTGAACGCTAGGATTGTCGGTGTGTGCCACCACGCCCACTTTATCTAGTGCTGGCCCTTAGGAACGCTAGGGAAACCCCAGTCCAAGAGAGCTGTTCTCCTTAGCTCCTACCTCCCCCGGATTCTACCACAGAGCTAAATTTCAAGCTCTCGACTTTTTTGTTTTTGTTTTTTTGAGACAGGGTTTCTCTGTGTAGCTTTGGAGCCTGTCCTGGAACTTGCTCTGTAGACCAGACTAACCTTGATCTCCCAGAGATGATCCACCTGCCTCTGCCTCCCGAGTGCTGAGATTAAAGGTGTGAGCCATCACTGCCTGGCTGGATTTTTAATATCCTTTGGAAGTGTGTACTAAATTATATTGAGACTAATATTAGAATAAAGTGGGCATGGTGATACGTGGCTACAATCATGGTGAGGTTCTGGATTCTATTAAAAAAACACTTTCAAAAATCAGCCAGTGCAAATTATGAGCTAACGGGTCACCTACAAACATGACCTTTCTCTAAAGAGTCTTGTAACTACTTATGATTAATGCATTCCTTCTTCCTCTCCCATCTTTTTACACCAATTAACCCTTCAAAAATGTGATAGAAGGGATGTTGGGCATGGGGGCACAGCTCAGGCCCTCCAGCACCTAGAGGCAGAGGCAGGAGTCTTAGGAGTTAAGGCAGGATCGGGTGACATGAGACTGTCTCAAACAAGAAGAGGCCAATAGACATGCTGACGTTGGGAATTTTCTTTGCCGTGTTTGGAGCATGTACACTCCATTCTGCTTTTTTTTTTAAATTTTATTTATTATGTATACAACATTCCTTCCAAGTATGCTTGTGTGCCAGAAGAGGGCACCAGACCTCATTACAGATGGTTGTGAGCCACCATGTGGTTGCTGGGAATTGAACTCAGGACCTCTGGAAGAGCAGGTTAAGATGGCTCTTAACCATTGAGCCATCTCTCCAGCCCCCACTCCATTCTGTTTTACTGATTTAATATTGAGTGACTATGGGGCAGGAGAAACGGCTCGGTGGCGAGGAGCATTGGATTGCTTGGGGTGGTGGCCATGCCTTTAATTCCAGCACTTGGGAGGCAGAGGCAGATGAAACTCATGAGTTTGAGGCAAGCCTGCTTTACAAAGCGAAAAACACAGAAAAACCCTATTTCAGGGGGGAAAAAAATCAAAAGGGCACTTGATTAGGGTTCAATTCCCAATATCCACCCTGCAGGGTAGAACTTTCTGTTGCTTCAGTTCCAAGGGATCCAATGCGGTCTGGGACCTTCCTAGGCATCAGGCATGCAACGGTGCACACACATACATGCAGGCAAAACGATGTTCACTCATAAAAATAAACCCTTGGGCACATGGTGGCACAGGCCTTTAATCCCAGCACTCGGGAGGGGCATGTGGATCTCTGTGAGTCTCGGGATAGTCAGACCCTGCCTCAATAACAAACTTGAAAAATGTTACCGTGTCTAACCACAAGAGTTATTTCATGGGACCAGAGAGACCACTCCCTTTCTCAGGTGCACAGCCTCCAGGAATATTGTTTCCTGTATCATGTTATTTCCCTCCTTTCTGTTTTCTGAGACAGGATCTCGTGTAGATCAGGCTGGCTTGAACCTCCACCTCCTGAGTGCTGGGACCCGGAGCTTTGTGCTTGGTAAGCAAACACTGTATCAACTGAGCACCCATCCCCAGCACCCGTACAGACCTTTTTACTCTTCGGAGCTTTCTCCAGCTAGGGAGAGTGTGTTTGTTTCTGGCCACAAAGTTGGCTCGAGCCTCATTAGTCCTACGGTGTCGTTGGCAGTTTTCTACCCTGAGCTATTTCTGGTCCACTTGCTTTCACAGGCTCTACTATGGGGCACCCCGCCAGAGTATTTACTCATCTGGCCCGGGACAGTGGTCCAGTTCCTTCTGCACCCAGACCTTTAGTAACCGCCAGGGAGAAAGGGCGAGCGCCCAGGCTGCAGAGCCCAGCGCGGCATTTTCAGGGCATCGTGAGCACGGGGGAGGCCTCACCACTAGCGTCTGGGGCACATGACCCGGCTTAACTGCAAATCTTAACGTTTATTTCAGGAACCAGCTTCCTAAGAGCAAATGTAAAAATGAAAAAAAAAAAATTCAAACTTTACAGCTTCAAGCCACACAATTCCGCGGGTTTGGTTCTTAGCAACCGCAGGGAGGAAGCGAAAGCAACCTCCGCCCCGCCCCACCCCCAGGCTTGCGGGCATCCCCAGGCTTGAGGGCGTCCGTGGACCCCGCAGCCGTGAGGTCGTGGGTGGGGACCTTCAAACCCTTTCAGTTCCGGAACCCGCGCACACTGCGGAGCCTGAGTCACCAACTGCCACCGCGGGCCGGAAGTCACCGCCACCTCTCACCGCGGGAGAAAGGTTTCCTGTGAGCGCGCACGGACTACGACTCCCAGCATGCTCCGCGGCCGCCGCAGTTAACCCTTCAGGGCCCAGAGCCGCCCTGCGTCTCGCCCCCGCCCCTTCCTAGCACCGGGCAAGGTAAGTTTTGCACGGTTGGGTGGGCCTTCTTTTCTCTAAGGTTTAGGAGTGTGAATAAGAGAAACAGGTGTATTGTCTGCAGAAGGATTTCTTATTTTCCAAAAAAAAATGGGACAATTTTCAGTAAAAAGATTCTGACGCCCTTTTACAAAAGCAGACACATTATCACTCCCCAAGGCCTAAGTGGAATGACCGGTCTCTCAGAAGGCTACCTAAATCTTCTTTCTCCAAGAATAGAATAGCCAGAGTCTGCTCCTAGTTCCCAAACACGACCCCTCCCCTTTGCCATGACTTCCAGCAGGGTTTGTGACTGAGAGCCAAGCTCAGGTTTTTTATTCTGCTCCTGCTTGGGGTGTGGGTATGGGAATACCCATGGACCAGTCGGGATCCTGTAATCTTTCGGATTAGAGAATCTAGGCTCCTTGTCTCCCAGAGCCCTCTCTTCGTGTGTGTGTTCTTGTGTCTTCTCTCCAAGCTCCTCAGGCACCCTAGCCTTTTGTCTGATTTGAATAACAGTACCTTGTGAGAAACCGTTCTTTCTTGGGAAGTATATGTGGCAGACGTTAAACCTTGTCTACACCTGCTCCCCTAAGTCAGCACCAGGTGCAGAAGACGGGGCAATGCCATGTTTCGGCTGCTGTGCGTGGCTCCAGGTTGGGGGTAGCCTAGGGACCTACATGCTCTAATGATCATTAAACTATGGGAATGGGCAGAAGAGAGTATAAACACACACCTCCCCTTTATTTAAAAATTTTCAGAATTTATTTAAAAATTTCCCACAGCCGGGCGGTGGTGGCGCACGCCTTTAATCCCAGCACTCGGGAGGCAGAGGCAGGCGGATCTCTGTGACTTCGAGACCAGCCTGGTCTACAGAGCTAGTTCCAGGACAGGCTCCAAAACCACAGAGAAACCCTGTCTCGAAAAACAAAACAAAACAAAACAAAAAAATCCCACTAGGTTCCTATACTGGCCAGCTCCCCACTCCATCCCCAAGACCTCCAATGCTTGGGTCTTCTACAGTCTGAAGCTAATGCAACGGTTTTTGTTGCATTTTGTTTTGTTTTTTTTCGAGACAGGGTTTACTCTGTTTAACAGCCTGGGTTGTCCTGGAACTAGCTCTTGTAGACCAGGCTGGCCTCGAACTCACAGAGATCCGCCTGCCTCTGCCTCCTGAGCGCTGAGATTAAAGGCTCCCGTGACCACTGCCCCGGCTCTCATTGTGTTTTTTACCCCTCTTCCCTTCACTCCCTTCTCAGTAGCACTAGCAAACAGCCTATTCTCACCCTGGAGGTTAAATCTGAGAAGTCTCCTGTTTCTTTCCCCTGCCCTTAAAGGAAACAATGTTCTTGTCAGCTTTGGGGGAGGAGTGGCAGAAGGAAGAAACTTTGGGACAGGAGTCCTGAACTACAGAAGGTCAGGGGAGTGAAGGCAGATAGGCGTAACTCTCCTGTCCCTCACCCTTGCCACCGCCAACTGGCTCCCTGCCCCGTCCCTGCCCCCGCCCCTTGACATCCCAGACTCCCTGCCTATTTAAACAGAGATGGGTGCCCCATCAGCACACTGTCCTTTGGCCACCTGACATCATGCCGCCCAAGAAGGATGTTCCTGTGAAGAAACCAACAGGACCCCCCATCTCTAAGCCTGCTGCCAAGTCTGCAGCAGGGACCCCTCCAGCCAAGACCAAGGCTGAGCCAGCTGCCCCCCAGGCCCCTGCAAAAACCCAGGAGCCTCCTGTCGATCTTTCCAAAATCGTGGTGAGTCCCAGGAACGTGTGGCTTGGAAGGGGAGGTTCAAGGATGCCATCCAGCCCAGGGAATCAGGGAATGGGTGGGAATATGAATGAGCACCGTAGGGAGATTGGGGGTTCCCAGGCCAGTTTCAAGGTGAAGGGAGAGGGGCTGTCTGCCCCGGGCTGGCTGTTTAACTCAAAAGACCAAGTCTCTGAACCCCAGGAGGGGAGACTAAAGAGGACAGGCTTGTTAGACAATCACAGCTGGGGGCAGGGGTAAATTTAGCCTTTGTTCAGCCCCCAGTTATGTGAGGGATGCAGGACTCAGGGCAGTGGAGGGAGGGGAACAGGTGGCATGGGATTAGCCCTGTTCCCAGGAAACCCTCCCCCTTTAATTCCTCTTGGGATTCTCCCAAGGCCCGAGCCGGGGATGGGACCAAAGTGGCGGGGCTCTCAGCCTCATCCCTTTGGGCCCCTCCCCAGAAGTGGCTGCCAGTGGGGTGGGCGAGCCAGAGAGGGATTGAAAAGGCCCTGCCATCTCTCCTCTCCTCACTTCTCCCCCCTCCCCTACAGATCGAGTTTAACAAGGACCAGCTGGAGGGTGAGAAGCCTTTTCCTAAACCCCATTGTCTAGTCCCAAGCCCCTGGTCAGAGTCTCTGCTCTGCAGTGCTGACCTTGAAGCCTCCCACTCTTGTCCTGGTTTCCTCCCTTGTTCCGCCCTGCTGCAGCACACAGTGCCTTGCCCAGCTCTAGCATAAGATGTCCAGACGAAACCTCCCTTCTGTCTGGAAGTGATGGGACTCCTCACCATCTCTCACCCTCTCCTCACACCCCAGAGTTCAAGGAGGCCTTTGAGCTGTTTGACCGAACAGGTGATGGCAAGATCCTGTACAGCCAATGTGGAGACCTGATGAGGGCCCTGGGCCAGAACCCTACCAATGCCGAGGTGCTCAAGGTCCTGGGGAACCCCAAGAGCGATGGTGAGAGGGACCCTGGAATATGCGGGTTCTCAGTTTTCTTCTTCTTCAAGATTGTATGGGTTCTACCTTGGGACGCTGAGCTCCCTATCTTTCTTCTCTCTCTCTCTCTCTCTCTTGTGTTTTTGAGACAGGGTTTCTCTGTGTGGCACTGGCTGTCCTGGAACCCACTCTGTAGACCAGGCTGGCCTCAAACTCACAGAGATCCGCCTGCCTCTGCCTCTTGAGTGCTGGAATTAAAGGCGTGCATCACCACCACCACCCTTTTTTTTTTGTTTTTCAAAACAGGGTTTCTCCTTCCCTTTCTTTTTTAACATGGAATGCTTCACCAATGTGCCTGCCATCCTTGCACCGGGGCCAGGCTAAGCTCGGTACTGTTCCGCTTTAAGTATCTGTGCTGCCAAAGCAAGCACCACAGAGCTCCATTTCCAGCCTGCAGCTTTCTTTCGTGTTCCCCTCTCCCCAGGACAGGGTCTCTATCCTAGCCAAGAGTGATTTTAAATTCTGATCCTTCACCTCCTGTCTACTTCTGCCTACCAGAATGCTGGGATTACTCCGATTTATGTGGCGCTGGATTTGAATCCAGTGCCTTGTGGAAGACAGACAAGCCCTTTTTACTGAACCATATCCCTGTTCTTTTACTCTTTGAGACAGGTTCTAAGTTACTCAGGGTGGCCTTGACCACATGGCATCTGCTGCCCTTGAACCTACAGCTCTATCCCAGTAGCCCTAACAGCCCAGGTTGTTCTGGGACTAACTATATAGACCAGGCTGGCCTCAAATTCACAGAACGCTGCCTTCCTCTGCCTCTGAGTGCTGGGGCCGCAGAAGGTGCGAGCCACCACCCACGGATTAGCAGTTTTCTCTTTGTCTTGAGTGTCCTGACACTTCACTGGTCCCCAGCGCTCCCTTTTTAATTTTTCTGCAGACATGAGGAATCACTAAATTGTTTGGCTGGCCTTGAATTCGCCTGGCCACTCTGCTCCCCATAGTGGCACTTTTCCCTGATGGGTAAGGATGCCAGGCTGGATCTCAGGACTTCAGAAGCTGTCGAGCACAGGGCAGGAAAACATTCTGAATGCTGAGGGGGATGACGCTACTATGACAGGATGGACGCAACTGGATCCTCACCTCGGTGACCTCTCTCTCACCTCTCTCTCATCTCCAGAGCTGAAGTCCCGACGCGTGGACTTTGAGACGTTCCTGCCTATGCTCCAAGCAGTGGCCAAAAACCGGGACCAAGGCACATATGAGGACTACCTGGAGGGGCTACGTGTGTTTGACAAAGAGGGCAATGGCAAAGTCATGGGAGCAGAGCTCAGACATGTTCTGACCACCCTGGGTGAGGCAGGGACCGGGAACTGTGGGGTGGAGAAGGGGGTGGACCAGAAAGAGTCCGGTAAAGCCTGGAATGGGATTGCAGTCCTGCAGTCTTGGGCAGGGACTGCAAAGGCAGAATCAGAGGAACTCGCTCATCCAGAGGCTGAGGTGTCCAGCAAACAAGCAGAGAAGAGGGGATGACGTGGGAGCCCCATCCCCCCCAACCCCCCCTCCCCCGTTTGCAAGCCAGACTTGTGCTGATTCCATGCAAGTCTCAACCCTTGCGGCTTGTTCCAAGGCACTGTTGGTGTGGGCCAGGTGGAAAGAAAAGGGCAGGGTGGAAGGAGGAGTGGCTTGAGCTCATGAGGCGCTCTGTGTTTGGGGTTCAGGTGAGAAGATGACTGAGGAAGAGGTGGAGACTGTCCTAGCAGGCCACGAGGACAGCAATGGCTGCATCAACTATGAGGGTAAGGGTGCACCCTCAATTTCCTTAAGTTCGATGGATTACCCTGAAGTCAGTTTCTGAAGTCCTCTCACCCCCTCTCGTGCAGCCTTCCTGAAGCACATCCTAAGCCTCTGAGCTCCTCAGAGTCCTCCCACGCTAGTGTCGTCCTGAGGCTCCTAGACCAACCAGACAGAAGAACAGGCCGTGCGTTTTCCCGATCTGTGCAGCTCAAGCGCCAGGGCGGGACAACTTTCTTTTCCTGACACAGACCCAGCCGGGTCGATACTTACCCCACCTCCCAGGCGGCTAGGAGCGCATTCCTGCCACTAGGCGGCACTTAAGAGTTTTCAAATAAAAACTTGGTTCCTGCTTTGGTCTCCGACTGTTTTCTTTTGAGAAAGGGGAAGGAGGGAAGTAGTCCTGTCTTCTGCCAAAGCCCAAATTCCCTGTTCTTTGTGCAGCTCGGGAGAAAAGCTTCCAAAGAGTCGCAACCCAGGCCTGGGGCGTTTCTGAGCGGAGGCTGGGGGCTTCTCACCTCATTACTAATGTAATGATGTCATCCGCATGGGCCCAGCCTAGCATTCCTATTGGGTGAAACTGCAGGTGACGTCGTACGCCATGGGACGTACTAAAGCTAGGGCTGGGTCGGGACTCGGAGCCATTACTGCCGGAAAAGGTCCTGCGGAGCTGAGCAGCCAAGATGGTGGGCCTCGGGTATCGGGAGATTAGGGGATTTGGGGCAAGGAGGGAGCCATGGGTCGGGGGAGAGAAGCCAGTGGATGTGGACAAAGGCAAGCCCAGGTCTTGGAAGGTTGTACGTGGGGGTCGGAAGGTCTAGGGCTCTGCCTCAGGAAGCGAGCCGTCACCTTGAAATAGGAGTCGGGGTTCAGTTTGTAAGGCCGGGATAGAAGCTTTCGGGGTTGGACTTGAGGTGCTGACCAGTGCCTTCTTCTCCGAGCAGTGTGACTTCACCGAGGACCAGACCGCAGGTAGGCAGCCTCTGGCCCCCAACGGAGGTCACCCTTACCTAGGGGGACACCCTCCGCTGGCATCTACTCTCTCCGATCCCAGCTTGTCAGCTCTTCAGCATTCCCGGGAGATTGCCACATGGATTTCCTAATCCTCCTCTTTGGATCCTCCATTTTCTTTTCTCATTCTTTCTTCCTTCCCCCTCCACTCTAGATCTGAGCCCCAAGCACTGGGCGAGTTTTAGGTGGTGTGGGTATGTCAAACAACTTGTTTGGTTACTGCCTGTTGTGTGTCGGGTCTATTATGGCTGTGTTCTGCCTCTTCTAATCTGCCACTTTTGCCTATCCCGTGATAACTCCCCCCCTCACCCCCAGCTTGGATTGCGAAGACTGTAGCAGTGCCTTGGTAATTGTGAAGATGGGTTCTGGGGAGTTTGCTAAGGATATGACTTAACTTTCCCCCTGGAAGACCTCTGTAAGGGGAAGGGTGGGAAGTGGCCGGCTAGAATGACCCTAGATAGAGTCCCTAGCCGCTGCTACTTCCTTATATGGACAGGACCTAGCGGGGCGGCAACCAATTCCTAGGGAGTAGTGGAGTGGTGGAGAGCCTGCCTGCTGCGGGCTCGGGTGTGTAAACAAACAGGTGGATGCCTCCTTGTGCTAAGGGGAAGGTGGCTGTGTCTTTCTGCGGGACATTTGAGTTGGTAGAAATAGATCCCTATGGGCAGTCTTGGGTGTACAGGACAGGGGGTCCGGTTTCTCCAGCACGATTAAAGTTGAGTTGGCAGCAGAGTTGTACAGTCTGGACTGGCTTCATTCCCAGGGCTGTTGTTCATTTGAATCCTCAGAGTTCAAGGAGGCTTTCCAGCTGTTTGACCGAACAGGTGATGGCAAGATCCTGTACAGCCAATGTGGGGACGTGATGAGGGCCCTGGGCCAGAACCCTACCAACGCCGAGGTGCTCAAGGTCCTGGGGAACCCCAAGAGCGATGGTGAGCTTCTCAAGAACTTAGTGCGCCAGTAGGTTTATGGTTGTTCAACTAAAAGCATCCCTGTATCTTCATAGGCTCAGCCAGCCAGTCCTGCAGATTCTCCCTTCTCTGCCACACCCGTCAGTTCACTTGTGTTCCAAGAACACGAGTGGTTCTCTTGGCTGACACTTGTACCTCCTACATGCAGAGATGAATGTGAAGGTGCTGGACTTCGAGCACTTCCTGCCCATGCTGCAGACTGTGGCCAAGAACAAGGACCAGGGAACTTATGAGGACTATGTCGAAGGCCTTCGTGTGTTCGACAAGGAAGGGAATGGTACCGTCATGGGTGCTGAAATCCGGCATGTCCTCGTCACACTGGGTAAGGCTCTGTGACCTTGCTCTGGAGCTGGGCTGCCACCCTGATACACCTCACCTGTCACCCAGCTCTCAAATGACCCTTCCTCTGCAGGAGAGAAGATGACAGAGGAGGAAGTGGAGATGCTGGTGGCAGGTCATGAGGACAGTAACGGTTGTATCAACTATGAAGGTGAGTGTCCAGCTGTCAACTGGAGCCTTTGAGGAGGAAGTGGTCTTAGGGCACGTTAAGGACGGCACCTGAGGTGTTTTCTCCCTAGATTTGGTTCCAGAAAGGAGTCAAGGGGCAAGGTCCAGTCCAGCCTGGGAGGGGGCTGTTGGGTACACAACAGCGACAGAAGGGTGGGCTATGAGTGGGAAGCAAACAGAACGTCTGTCCCCACTGCTGACCCCTTCACCCATGTCTGTGTCTTCACCATTAATGTCTCTTCCTTCCTGCAGCATTTGTGAGGCACATCCTGTCGGGGTGACGGGCCCATGGGGCGGGTACGGCTCCTCCCAGCCTCTCCTCTAGTGTCTCCCTGGTGTTTCCTTTCTTCCCAACTGTGCTCTCTAGCCCCCTGCCCATAGCTACTACCAACTGACTTCCTCCTGGCATGATTCTGCATGGAGCTGGCTCGGGAGGGGAGGGTTCCTCGGTAAGGAAAGCAGCTTGGGGGTGTGGTACCTCCTTACTTCTCTCCGGTCTCTGAGGTTGGACTTACTTGGTGCTGGTGTCAGGAAATTCTCACCAGCTTATCGAAAAGGCTTGCCTTATGGTGGATCTTTGGCCCTGGAGCATGGAGAGTTGCAAAGGGGGGTGGGCTGCTTGCCCCGTTCTGCTGCTATAACAAAACAGTTCTCTCCATCCCTCTGCTGGACAGCTTGGAGGTACCTAACTCAAAACTGTCCTCTCCTGCCAGTGGCTGACAGTAGCTCTAGGTGTAGTTGAGAACTCCTGCCTCTGCTGTGTTCTTGCTACTCAGCGTGGGGTGGGGGCTAACAGCTGCTGGGAGGGGAGCCAGGGACAGAGAGAACTGGTCACTCAAGGTGGCTCTTGGCAAACTAACCCCAGGGTTGGTTGCTGTGGCCATGTTCCTCATGCCACCTTCATGATCTGTGGTCTCCTGGCCCGTGGTGCACCCTCCTGAGCCCTTTCCTTGGCTTACTCCACCTCTCCCCCACAGAGCTTGTCCGGATGGTGCTGAATGGCTGAGGACATTTCCAGACCCCGAGCCTGTGCCTTGCCCAGTGTGGGATCTCCCTGTGGCCCCTCCTAGGCTCCCTTGTCACAGCACCTTGCCATCTGGTCTCTTCTGGATGTCTGTCTTCACCAAATAAAATTCTCTCTTTGCCCTATTTGGTTCCATTTCCTTTCCTGGTCAGGGTGAGGGAGGAAAGGGTGAGGCGGTACTGATGTCTGTTCTGAGACAAAGCTCTGGGCTGAGGGTGGGGTTTAGGGAAAACTGGATTAGGGCCTCATTAATGAAAGGCTCCCCTTTGGGGAATGAAGAAAGCCATAAATCCCTACAGCTAGCTGTGTGCTTGTGTGTGGGGATCCTTTTGCTCTATTCTGGGTCAAGTTACATTTCTTGGCCTTAGGGCTTCTTTGAAACAGGTCCCCACCCTCCTAGGTACTGACCGCCTTTGTGGGAAAGCCTGTGGGTATTCACTGGAGCTAAACTGCCAGGACATATTAGCACAGCTACTGCCTGTCTTGTCCTGTCTGCAGGGCTGGGGGCCAGTGATGACAGTGGGAGGTGAGTGCCTGCCTCCTCCCTAATAAGGGAAGGAATGTAGCCACTGTCTAAAAGGATTTAGATCCATTCTTCCAAGAGCTATTTCAGGGCAGGTGAACACGGCTGCTGCAGTCCTAAATGCTGGGTTGCCTTTGGCCTTTTGTGGCAGGAGACTTACATCTGTGGGCCTGTGGTAAATGCCCAGTGAGGGACTCCAGGAAGGCTGCCCCCTCCCTAGCAGCCACAGGTAAGAGAACACAGGCATTCACAAGATGGAACTGAAAGCAAATTAATTTATATAAAAAAAAATTAAAAAAAAAAGAACAAAGAAAAGAAAATTTTACAGAAAACTTTGAACAGAAGAAAGGTGCCAAGATGCAGAGGAAAAGAAACCCTGGGACAGGAGGGACAAAGGCCTGGCAGCAGGGACCAAGCATTGGTGTGGAGCCTGGCATCCTGTCTGCCTCACGAGGAGGGTGAGGAGAAGGAACCGGAGTGCAGAGGCACTGAAGTCCAGGGAGCAGGGCCATGCCACACTGCCCCCAAATCTTTGTCCTCATTTGGGGAACTCCTAGCTATCAGTGAGGGTCTGTCAGGCTTGGTGGGAGAGGGCAGAATTAGCAGAGTGTCCCCACAGGTCTTAAGTGCTTTTCAAATTTTCAGGATTTGCAAACTCCCCATCCTCCTAGAGCTCCCGCTTCAAGCCATCTAGGCTCTCACAGATACAACCAGAAAGAGTAGGAAGAACAGCCCCAACTGCGGCCCTTCCTTCCTCTATCGTCTACCATGGAATCCCCACAAAATAATATCCCCACCAAATACACGTGCGCTGGCATCAACTAAGCAGGTGACTTTTAAAAACAAACACAGCTGACATTCAGAGGGAAGGTCATTGCTGAGCTGTGGCCTAAAACAGCAGCAATGACAAGCAGCGGGAGGGCTCAGCATGGTAAACTGGAATGGGTGAGGGAGCTGACTTAGTGCCAAGGGGCTCAGGGAGACAGGCTTGGTACCCTAGTCCATCCCCACAGCTCGCCCCCAAACCTTAATTCCCCTTAAAATCTGCCCTTCCCCCTCAAAAAAAGTTATTTTTTGTGGACTCCAATATGTCTTTTTAAAACCTCCCTTTTAAAGGGTTTTGTTTTCACGATATCCACTTCAAAAATACAGTAGTCTGAAGGGGGCACCCTCAGAAGTGGTTAGCAGAATCTCCTATAAACATCTTTCCCTGGCCCTTCCTTTGAGGGCTCCATTTCCACCCTAGCCTCTCCCAGGCATGAGGAACATCTTTTAGTCAGAAGTCTGTGGATAAGAACTGGATATAAAACTGCACACCTCTGATGGGCATGGTGGGGCGGTGAGGGGGCATGAGGAGCTTTCCTTACGTAGTGATGAACTCTCCAGGCTCAGAGAGGTCCCAGAAGTGGGGGAGGGCTGTTCCTGGAACTGTGACCTCCATGGGGAGTGAGGGGGAAAGATGGCTGGCTGGCTCCTCACTGTGGAGGTGGCACAGGGGTGACTGTGCCTGGGCTCGGAGCTGTGGGGTCTGGAGGCAGGGGGGTGCCGGGGTCTGTGGAGAAAAGGAAGATGAATGGGCTGGAGCAAGCAGAGGAAACGAACCAGCCCCAGGCTCCACACACAAACTGGGCATGGCATGCAGTGGGTGGGTAGATGGATGAGGTACCCACTCTGTTTAGCTTCTTTTCCCCAATACCCCTTTCCACCTGACACTGGGAAGACCCCAAACCATCTTCCTGCCCCCAAGGACTCTAGATGGGGCATCTGAATGTGGTGGGAACAAGCAAAGGAATGCCATCGTCATGCGTATGGGCAGCTAGTGTCCAGGTTTACAACGGAGGTCCTCTGCGCACTGGACTCCTCCATGACCCACCAGTGAATGGCCCCAGCGTCATCCCAGAGGTGGCAGCTGCCAAATGGGGAAGTGGAGGACAGCCAGAGAGGCCCTTCCTCCTGTGTTCTAGTTTTACCAGAGTGCTGAGAACAGCTGTGGAAATTCTAGTATCTAACCCTTTACCCACCTGCCCTCCTTCCCACCATGTGGAACCCTCTCCCTCACCCTTCTCCCCTCCTGGCCCCTTCTCACCTGGCAGTGGGCTGGCACTGGGCAGGAGGTTGCCCTGAACAGCTGCCACAATGGCAGGGCTCTGGGCTGCGGCGGATCCGAGCCCCGGCCCGAGAGGCAAGGAAGATGGCATGGTGGTGGTCGCCGGCAGGTTAGGATGTAGAGGGTTCGCCATGGACACAGGCAGGTTAGGTGGGGGGATAGTGCCCGGGGCAAACGGGAGATGGTGGTGATGCCCATGCAGGTTAGGGGGAGGGGGAAGGTTAATACTAATGGAGTCAGCTAGACTACCAAATGGGATGATGGATGGAGCAGCAGGAGGAGGAGGAGGCGGCATGCCAAAAGGCAAACCCAAAGGAGCATTACCCGCCACGCCTGGGTGCCCGCTGCCTGGCACTGCCCCTGGCATCATTGAGGGAGGAGTTTGTTGGTTGGGGAACGGTGAGGGGCCTAGAAATAAACAGAACAAAGACATGAGAGGAGAAAAATCTTACACAGCAGCTCAAGCTTCCCTAGCCTGACACCAGAATAGAACTCCAGGTAAGTCTGGGAAGATATCCCTGCTGGTCTGTGGACATAATAACGGAATCCACCTGTAGAAACTTATCGCCGGGCCCAGCAGGAATTCCCTTCAAAGGAACCAGAACATTTGCTTGGCTCTCTGCAGCCAACAAACACTGCAGGATGCATACTCACCGTGGGGTCCAGGGGGGGGTACCCCTGGTGGGACTGCCCCAGGCTGGGAGGCTCCAGCTGCTTGTGGCTGTTGTGGCCCTGCAGTTGACCCTGCTTGCCCGATCTGCTCAGAAGGGCCCAAGCTTCCAGGAGGGGCCCCACCGCCAGCAGGAGCAGGGGCCACAGCTGCTGGAGCCACAGCTAGACCATGGGCCGTGGGAGGCCCAGCAGCCCCAGGCGGGGCTATGGGCTGGGAGCCTGGGGGCAGGGTTGGTGGCTGCTGCTGCTGCTGCTGCTGCTGGTGCATCTGCTGGAAGTGCTGCTGCCGGGCCCTCATCTCTGCGTACTTCAGCTGTTCCATGTGGAAGGCCTGCCGGTCGGCCAGGAGCTGCTGCCTCTGGTACTCCAGCTGCCAGTGCCAACAGAATACGGTCAGCAGGTCCAGATCCTTGGGCAGACGCCTCGGCCCCACTTTTTCTTTTGGAAGACCCTATTGCTCAGGCTGGTGTATCCCCAAGACTGACCCTTGCGCGCACCCCAGTCCACAGACTCCCAGCCACCCATGCTGCTCCTCACTGCACGACTATCTTTTTGTTTTTGTTTTGTTTTGTTTTTCGAGACAGGGTTTCTCTGTGGTTTTGGAGCCTGTCCTGGAACTAGCTCTTGTAGACCAGGCTGGTCTCGAACTCACAGAGATCCGCCTGCCTCTGCCTCCCAAGTGCTGGGATTAAAGGCGTGCGCCACCACCGCCCGGCTTGCACGACTATCTTCTGGTGTGGTTCCGGTTCGTTTCAGTCCCAAACTCTGAACTTGTTATTATTCTGATTTGAAAATGCTTCCAGTTCTTATGAATTCAAGTTCTCTTCTCCCTTCAAGACAGGCTAAAATCTTGACTATTCTAGTGAGCCATCCTACATGGGTTCACTGGCCTCTGAATTTTGTTTTTGTTCTGAATCTCCCAGATTTGTTTAGTTATTTATTTTTAGAATTGGGGTTTCTCTGTTATCCCTGGCTGTCTGGAACTCACTATGTAGACTAGGTTGGCCTTAAACTCACAGAGTTCTTTGCCTCCTGAGTGCTGGAATTAAAGGTGAAGATTTTAAAGTTACTCTTAACAATGTGTATGGACATGTATCTGTGTGGGTGTCTGAGAAAGTCCCCCAGGGGCCAACATGGGTCTGTTCCCAACGACTCAGCCAGTCTACCCCTTAGAAAATCTTCTAATATGAATTTTCTGGGTAGTTTAAGTATTGTTAACTGTTTTTGATACCTCCTATTAAATATCTGATGTCTCCAGGGTCCCCATCTTCTACTTCTTTTTAAGTGCTCAAAGAAACTGACTTGATACTTGTCTGTCCCATCTATTGTCCAAATTTACATCCCTAGTATCTTATCACCTCTTAAATCCATTCACTCACCCAACTTTAGGAAACTCTAGTAGAGAGGAAAGCACTCTCCAGTCTAGAGATGCTGCAGCAGCCAGAACCCAGCCGCAGCCCAGCTGCCCCACTCTCCTCAGCCTCACCCCTGAGCCCAGCTGCCCCACTCTCCTCAGCCTCACCCTGAGCCCAGCTGCCCCACTCTCCTCAGCCTCACACCTGGGCCCAGCTGCCCTACTCTCCTCAGCCTCACCCCTGAGCCCAGCTGCCCCACTCTCCTCAGCCTCACACCTGGGCCCAGCTGCCCCACTCTCCTCAGCCTCACCCCTGAGCCCAGCTGCCCCACTCTCCTCAGCCTCACCCTGAGCCCAGCTGCCCCACTCTCCTCAGCCTCACCCCTGAGCCCAGCTGCCCCACTCTCCTCAGCCCTGAGCCCAGGCTTCTGGTAGGCCTCCAGGTTCCTGCTCACTCCTGACTGGAGCT